AGCATTCTGCAGTCTCTTCCCATTTAAAATAAAGCTCTTCTATTGTTGCTACCAAAGTGCAGAACCTCAGATTTTTCCTCATTATATGCCATGTGTCAAGTTTTTGCCCATTCATTTAACCTGTCTACATCACTCTGCAGACTTTGAGGGTCAGCCTCATTACTTACCTTCCCATACATTTTGAGCTATTCACAAACTTGGCTACAGTACATTCACTCCATCATCCAAGTCAGTACTATATATTATAAATAATTATGGCCCCAGCACTAATCTCTGTTACCGGCTGCCATGCTGAAAATGCCCCCTTTATGCAAACTCTGTCATGTATTAGTTAGCTAAATCCTCCATCCATGTTAATATACCACCTCCAACAGTGTGGGCGCTTAAGTAGTCTTATGTGCAGCATTTTAATGAACGCCCTTTAAAATCCAAAAATTATAAAGTCATCTCCTCACAGCTCAGCTAACCCGGAATGCATCTGACCAAGCTCCTGACCTTGATCCAAACAAGGACAAAAGACCTGAACACCAGCGGTGAGGTGAGAGCGACTACCCTTGTTAACAAGGCTGCACTTGACTAAGTATGACATCAAGGAGCAAAACTGGAAGCAATGGGAATTGAGAAAAATCTCCTCACTGGTTCAAGTTTTACCTGACACCAAGGAAGATGACTGTGGCTGTTGAAAGATAACCATCACAGCCCCAGGGCTTCTCTGCAGGAGGTCCTTAGGGTAGTGCTTCATCAATGACCTTCCTTCAACACTGGTTAGAAGAGGGGACGCTTGCTTAAGATTTCACAATGTTCAGCATCACTGTGATTCCTCAAATACTAAAGCAGCCCGTGTCTAAATACAAGACCTGGACAATATCCAGGCTCAGGATGATAGGTGTAAGTAACGTTTGCACCACGCAACTGCCAGGTACTGGCCATCTCCAATAACAAAGAAACCAAGCATCGCCCCTTGACATTCAATGGCATTCTTTTGCTGAATCACTCACTATGAACATGCTGAGGTTTACCATTGACTAGAAACACAACTGAATTTGCCACATAAATGCTGTGGCCGGAAGAGCAGGTCAGAGGCTAGGAATTATGCAGCAAGCAACTCACCTCCTGTCTCCCAAAGCCTGTTCAGCATCTACAACGCACAAGTCAGGAGTGTGTTAAATAGACCTGACTTGCCTGGATATGTGCAAGTCCAACAAAGGAGCTCCCACGCAAGAGGTTAACATGTAAAATTAAAAGTGTTTAGGATTGGGGGTAGAGAATTGATTGGCAGACAAAAAACAAAAAGGTAGGAATTAACAGTCATTTTCCAAGAGGCAGCCAGTAATCAGAAGGGTACCACAGGGATCAGTGCTTGGACTGCAGCTATCCACACTAAATATTACTTAGATGAGGGAACTAAATGTAATATTTTCAAGTTTGCAAATGACACAAAGCTGGGTGGGTGAGCGAGCTGTGAGGAGGGCGCAGAAAGGCTTCAGTCGTTTTTCGACAAGTTGAGTGAGCAAGCAAGCAAATACTTAGCAGATGAAGTATAATGTAAACAAACATGTGGTTATCCACTTTGTAGCAAAAACAGGAAGGCAAATTATCTGAATGGTGACAGAATGGGAAAAGGGAGAGGTGCAACAAGACCTGGGTGTGCTTGTACATCAGTCACTGAAAGCAAGCATATAGCTGCAGCAGTCAATGGAGAAGGCAAATAGTGTCCATAGTGAAAGGATTCCAATACAGGAGTAGGGATGTCGCTACAAATGTACAGGGTCTTGGTGAGACCACAGGTGGAGTTATCCACAGGTTGGTCTCCTTATCTGAGGAAGGATGTTCTACTTATGGAAGGTGTGCAACAGAGGTTTACCAGGCTGATGAATGGCAGGGCTGACATATAAGGACAGACTGGATCAGTTAGGATTATATTCACTGGAATTTAGAAGGTTGAGGAGGGATCTCATTAAAACTTTTAAAATTGCAACAGGGCTAGACAGGGTGGATGCAGGTAGAATTTATCCAACGACCAGAGAGTGCAGAACCAGGTGTCACAGTCCAAGGATAAGGGGCTGTTTAAGATAGAAAATCTCCTGTTCTCAAATCACCATGACAGTGGTGTGCCTGTGGAATTCTCTGCTATAGAAAGCAGTTGAAGCTAAAACATCGAATGCTGTCAAGGAGGAGTTAAATATAGTTCTTAGGGCTAAAG